CTCGCCATCCTCAGTAGATGGCTTCCACCTTGTGGTCTGGGACAGGCTGCCAGTATCTATCAGCACAGCCACATCCCGGCTGGTAGGGTGGGATGAAGAGGGACTGGATGATGGGCTCATCCCCACTCAGGCCCTGGCCCAGATGCTGCGTGTATCCCATCAGCTGTAACTGAGTCACACGCAGCATCCAACTCCCAGGGGCCCTGGGAAGCTATGCGCACCGATGAAACCTGGGCATTCTAATGCTAAAGGAAGAAGGGGAGAATGAATATTAGGGGGCCACAGGCAGGGATAGGCCTACCCTGGAAGGTGCAGCCCAAATGCCTCTGCCTGTCATCGAGTTAATTCACCATTTATTATCACTCTTTGCCAGATGTTGTGCCCGGCCCTGGGACTCAAAAATAAATGACAGTCAGGGGCTTCCCTGGTGGCGCAGTGGTTGGGAGTCCGCCTGCCGATGCAGGGGACGCGGGTTCGTGCCCCGGTCCGGGAAGATCCCACGTGCCCGCGAGCCGTGGCCGCTGAGCCTGCGCGTGCGGAGCCTGTGCTCCGCAACGGGAGAGGCCACAACAGTGAGAGGCCCGCGGGCAGGAAAAAAAAAAAAAAAGACACTCATGTTAATTAATTAATTAACATGAGTGTCTTTTTTTTTTTTTTTCCTGCCCGCGGGCCTCTCACTGTTGTGGCCTCTCCCGTTGCGGAGCACAGGCTCCGCACGCGCAGGCTCAGCGGCCACGGCTCGCGGGCACGTGGGATCTTCCCGGACCGGGGCACGAACCCGCGTCCCCTGCATCGGCAGGGGGGGGGGGGCGCCCCCCCCCCCCTGCCGATGCAGGGGACGCGGGTTCGTGCCCCGGTCCGGGAAGATCCCACGTGCCCGCGAGCCGTGGCCGCTGAGCCTGCGCGTGCGGAGCCTGTGCTCCGCAACGGGAGAGGCCACAACAGTGAGAGGCCCGCGGGCAGGAAAAAAAAAAAAAAAAGACACTCATGTTCTTCCTTTAAGCCTCTCCTTACAGTCTAGAAGGGATTGGGGTGCTCAAGGTTGCTGGGACAGCTGGGGGTGGCTTGGGATGGGGCACGTCGAGGGGGAGATCCACAGCGCTTAGAGGTCAGTAACGGCCAACAGTGTTCTCAGCATCCCAGAACCTTGCAAAGGCTTGGAGGAGTGAACCTGGCTGGCACATGTGGAGAACTTGGCCGGAACCTGTGTTCCGTGCTAAGGAATTTGGGCGTCACCCCGTGGTGATGGGGCTGGGTAGGCAGGTGGGGGAGGGTGAACTGGTGAGTCTCTGAGTTCTTTTTTGTTTGCGGTACGCGGGCCTCTCACTGCTGTGGCCTCTCCCGTTGCGGAGCACAGACTCCGGACGCGCAGGCTCAGCGGCCATGGCTCACGGGCCCAGCCGCTCCGCGGCACGTGGGATCCTCCCGGACCGGGGCACGAACCCGCGTCCCCTGCATCGGCAGGCGGACTCTCAACCACTGCGCCACCAGGGAAGCCTCGGTCTCTGAGTTCTGACCCCAGCTGGTCTTCTCACTCACCACACCCTGTTCTCCAGCCACTTTGTTCAATGCAAAGGAAGCTTGCCTTTGCACCTTTCCGATGCTGTGCTGTTCCCTCAGCCTAGTTTACCCTTCCCTCTCTTGTTTGCCAGTCCAGATCCTACTCAACCTTTAAGGCCCAGCTGAGTGGTGTGGTCACTCCAGGTCACCGCATAGTCCCTACTAAGAACTCATTAGCTCTATTCTGCAGTCTTGCTATGGTCACAGTATTGCTCCCATTTTATAAACGGGGGAATTGATGCTTTAGTATGCCGCTGGTCCCACAGCTAGAAAGATGCAGCAGGTAGCAGAGGTCCTGATCTATTGTCCTTTCTGCTCGCTGGCCTGGCGAATCTGCTCCGGGCAGCCATTTCCAGATTCAGGGGCAGAAGATCAGCAGCAGGGAGGTGAGCTGGAGGGGCAGGGAATGATGCGGAATAATTCAGAATAATGCGGAATAGTGTGGAATAATGGGGAGAGAGGAATCCTCAGCTCATGTGTCCAGAGAGCCTTTCTTAGAATTACCCCCCAAAATGCTGAGGTTAAATCCTGGGGTCAAAGTCACAGAGCAACAAACTGAGATTTAAATCTAGGACTCTGAATCCCAGTTTACTTTATTTTATTTTTTGGAAGCTTAAAGTATACAGAAAAGAAATTCAAAGTATACTGATATTCTTACCACTCAGAAATAACCACTATTAATATCCTGATATATATATATATTTTTTTTAATTTATTTCCAATTTTTATAGAAGAGTTCATTTTTTCTAAAAGTAATATTAAATGATTCTGCTCAATATAAATAATTCAAACTGAATTAAAGATGAGAGCTTAAAAATTATCCCAAATATTATCATTCAGAAATTCCTATCATTTCCTCCAGTGATAATCATTCTAGATGTCTCTGTAGGGATATAGACAGATTTAAAGAGAAATAGACACACTCTTATAAATAGTGATCATATTCCTGTTTAGTAGAGTAGCCACTAGCCACATGTACCTATTGACCCCTTGAATTGTGGTAGGTTTGAATCAAGATGTGCTGTAAGTGTAAAGTACACAATGGATTCAGAAAAATTAATATGAAAAAGAATGTAAAATATCTCAATAACTTAAAAAGTACTGATTACTGGTTAAACTGTTAATATTTGGATATATTGAGTTAAACAAAATATATTAGTAAAATTAACTTCACCGGGCTTCCCTGGTGGTGCAGCGGTTGAGAATCTGCCTGCTAATGCAGCAGACACGGGTTCGAGCCCTGGTCTGGGAGGATCCCACATGCCGCGGAGCGGCTAGGCCCGTGAGCCACAAATACTGAGCCTGCGCGTCTGGAGCCTGTGCTACGCAGCAAGAAAGGCCGCGATAGTGAGAGGCCCGCGCGCCGCGATGAAGAGTGGCCCCCGCTTGCCACAACTAGAGAAAGCCCTCGCACAGAAACGAAGACCCAACACAGCAAAAATAAAATTAAAAAATTTAAAAAAAAAATTAACTTCACCTGTTTCTTGTTTAATATAGCTACTACAAATTTTAAAGTAGCATGTGGCTTGCATATATTTCTATTGGATGGCAGTGCACTATTAGAAAATTAGGTGTTAGTAAGTATTCATGGAGGGAAGAAACTGAATCCGAAGGAATGGTTGAGCTCCAAATAAATGCTTCACCATGTGACAATCATTTCCTAAAGAGTCCAATAAAGCTTTTTTTTAAAAAATATTTATTTATTTGGCTGCACCGGGTCTTAGTTGCGACATGTGGGATCTTTTAGTTGTGGCACGTGGGCTCTTAGTTGCGGCATAGGGGATCTAGTTCTCTAGTGACTAGAGATTGAACCTGGGCCCCCTGCATTGGGGTCGTGGAGTCTTAGCCACTGGACCACCAGGGAAGTCCCCAATAAAGCTTTAAGAAGATTGGAGTCATGTTTGTTTTTTTTTGTTTAAACATATATTACAGTGTTTTGAAAGATGAGGGCACGGCCCCCGAAGTTCTTCCCAGTTTTTGCCGTATTATTGTTTTTGCATCATATTAATTTATAACAGTCATGTTGTGTTTTGTAATTCTCGTAGGCCTGCAGGCCTCTGCCTACATGTCCTTCATCCCTGAGCCCTGAATTTCTTTTTTAGCTGGATTTCATTCTCAGGAAGGACTCATGCTTCTGGGAGGAAGCTGCTGTTTGGGCTGGCCCGTCCACGTAGGCTTTGCTCCGTATCCCCGGGCTCTGTGCCGACATGGCTTTACGGCCCTCGGTGTTGATGCGGCCATGGGGCAAGCCTGACGTCCTCCGCATCTTGTAGGCAATTGCGTTCTCTTCTTGGACAGCTGAAGAATTCTTGTGTTCAGTAGCCTAACTCAGCTCTGTTTTTGTGTTGCTTGGTTCCTCCCAGGACCCTCGGTCTCATCTCTAAAAGATTATTTTCGGCTCCACAGTGCACAGACAGAGGCACTGCTGAGAACTATAGATTCAGCAGCTTTGGGTCACTGACCAGAGCACTTGGAAAGGCTCTTGTTACAGCTCTCGGCCTTTGGTAGACCTACTTCCCAAAATCTCAGTGGGTCCTCTGTGATACTTTTTTTTTTAGTTAATTTTAGATTACACAAATAATGGGCAAACCTGTTCTCCTTTCTAGGGCCAGGACATTACAGATAAAGCTAAAGTCTAATTGGCCACTAACCCCCGTTGAGGTTCTCCTTCCTGTACCCCAGTGGTAACTACTGCCATGGGTTTGAGGCATATCCTTCCAGGCCTTTAAAAATTGCTTTTATATTTTCATACAATTATGTTCTGTCCCTTCACAGAAAAAATAGACTGTGTTCAGGCTGGTGTATGAATTGTTCTGGGTTTACTCAGAACAATCTGGATGTGTGGATTCGAAAGAGCTGCTCTTAGAGTGAGGTTTTTATTCTAACTAACAAGCCAACACAGACATTAACAAAGAACTATAAGTAATGCGCTCTTAGGAGCAGAACCTTCATACAAACATTCCCAGATATCATGTCTGTAGAGCTTTGACTTCTAGGCAGAAGCAGACTGCATGCATTCAGGTCATTTTGACACAAACTTGTTTTAAGAATCTGAGTGCACAAGACTTTCTACCAGCTCACGTCCATGTATAAAGCCGTAGACCACGAAAGGGCTAGATTTCACTGCATTGTCTCTGAAAAATACAGAGTATTGGGTTTTGTGTGTTTTGTAGTGATCATGCTGAATAAATCATAAGACAACTTTGTGTTTTCTCCTGAACTTGAGCTCTGTCCACATTAACGAGTATCCATCTTTCTAGTTCAAAAAATATGGGACAGAGGAATGAATGCTTGAGCTACCACCCTTTTGCTTTCATACTCTGGAACATTCTTAACTAATTAAGAGAATTCACCGTAAGATGGTCCTGAGGTCCTTGGGGAGTTCCCAGCACACAGACCATTCCTCACCCCCATTTAGCTTCTCACTGTGTTCTTTGTAGATGACATGGCAGAACTCCTCCTTGGGGAATCGAAGCTGGAGCAGTACCTGAAGGAACACCCCCTGCGGCAGGGGGCCAGTCCCCGAGGCCCCAGGCCCCAGATGACTGAGGTCCGCAAGCATCTGACCGCTGCCCTGGACCGAGGGAACCTCAAGGTACCGTGGGCCTCGGGATGAGGGCTTAGAGGGGTATGCTGGCTCTACCTCCTCCGGGCAGCGTGTGCTCGGGAAGGATGCCCAGGGACGAACTGGGCGACGGGCGGAGCACATCTGTGGCTTGTCTTCTGAGGAGCAGGCCAACTCCCTGTGCAATTGATGTGGGGCTTCCAGACCAATAGGTTCTCTCTGATGAGAGTCTCTAATGACACATTATCCTGAGAAATGGCACTAATCTTTCCCAGGTGCTTGGAATAAAGCTGTTATCTGTGGCCCAGGACTCAATCTGACACTTTGTCCCACTGAGGAGAGAGAAGTGAATCAGGAGTGTCACTTACCGCATGATATCCTGCCTGAAATGTGCAGCTTGTGAATGCCCCACGCAGCTCTGGCCCGGAGCGGGGTGTACATTGGCGCCGGCAGGCCTGGTACCTTGGTGTGGGAGGGAACCAGGGCAGGAACTTCCCTCTGCCTGAGCAATGACCCTAATCCTCATGGCACAGGAAACCCTAAGCGCTGCCCTTCTCTCCATCTGCCCTGTTTCCTGGTCTCTATATTCAGCTTTCCCTCTCCATTTCAAGTCTTTCCTTGCTTGCTTCACTGAATCTTTTTCATCTTGCCTTCCCTCCCCCCTGCCCCCTTCCCCACCCTGTTACCTCACTTACTGGTTTCTGGACACTTCCCTGCCTGAAGTCTGGCTCTTAACTGGTTTCTTGAAGTCAGTCTTGTTCATGTAGCTGACTGCATCCCAGCATTC